ATCTAGATGTTTTACTTAAAGGGAATGACGGCTATTTGAAGCGGGGTATGTTGTAATATTTGATTGTAGCAATTTTTTTCGATAGTTATTCGAATGTGTAGTATTAGGAGTAGACGTGGAAAGGAAGGTTTCAAATAATTATGAATAGAGTCCCTCTCCGTATACCTGGACTGAGGGTAGCGCAAAGAATGAGACATCTGTAAAATACAATCGACCTTTTTAGTGTAGGATAAAGGTCAAAGAAGACCTATCGGTGACAGTGACTTTGTCGATAGTACAAATATGCTCAATACTGAGAGCAGGCGCAACGATAAATATCTTTATAATCTAATACGACTAACCAAGCACAGTCAACGGCCATCGGGGTCAAGGTCTGCACCGAACCGCGATGGCCCGTAGGCGACATGCCATAATGAACACACGCACGGTACATGCGCGGCCCTACCCACTGAGGAAGGCCTCAAACCCGTGGGTTCAGGCTAGCCCACCGGTTCTGCCTTCGATGAAGCTTGAATAGTCTAAGGACTGAAATCGTAAGATCAGTTATACAAATACAAGTACAAATATATTTTAATAGGTCATAATTGGAATGGTGTGGGATTTTCATAATTTAATTCTATCCATCATTAAGCTACCAGACGCTCAACGAGCTTCTATAATTTTTCTATCGACATTACGCTCATACAGACCGATAGTAATTATAATTAGTTAGTATAACTGCTCTGTCTATATGACCGATTACAATGTAACGAAAACAGTGTCCAGACGTTTTAATAGTTAGTGCGAAGGAGAACAGTACTGTTGTATATAAACTTTAGAATGAGTGTCGCTATTCGGCAGACTTCTGTAAACAATCTTACTTGTAAGCCAGCAGCAAAGGTACCATTTTTAGACCTATGATTGCTATGGTATATAATAAATAAATAATTATGTAGAAAATTATTCATTTATTTATTAATTCAAGTAAAAACGTTTTGCATTACATTACGGTATGGTTATACAATTTGTTTTGTATACAATTTGTTTTGATTTGGTACAACAATTTATTTATCTTACTTGACATGGCTTAACTTAATTTACTTTTCGCTAATCATCAAACCTCGATAATAACACACCCTACAAGCTTATTCAATTAAGAGAAACACAAGTAATTCAAACACCAATATTGGTTTACTGTATAGTGCATTGGATTAAGTTATGGTTAGTAAAATTAATCAGTACAGTAAAAAAACGTCTTTGAATTATTGCGAGTTTGCAAAGAGTTTATACCCTCCATATATACAGACACTCGCGACCCGCCCCGGCTTCGAATGTATTATACATATAAACCTTTCTCTTGAATCACTCTATCTAGTAAAAGAAACCGCATCAAGATCCGTTGCGTAGTTTTAAAGATCTAAGCATACACAGGGACAGACAGACAGACAGCGGGACGACTTTGTTTTACACTATGTAGTGATAAAACCGTATTGAACTTACTTTTCCTAACATACACCGGATCACACGCCACTCGTACCGGGTTGGACTGGGCCGCGTCGTAGCCAGATTAATATGTCCCAGTAGCAACCCCGAGCCCCGCCGTAACCACCGGGTGCGCGACATTATAATGCGACCGATAAACATCTAGCGCGGAACGCGGGACATCGGACTTGATCGATACGAAATGAGCACCTCGCGACGCGTAAGTTGCACTTACGCGTGATTTCTCGTCCGAAGGCATTTAGGTATTGATTGACCGCCGAGTGTACGCTCGAGTCGCTTGCTCGCATGTTGTGTTTCCACTTTGGTATAAGAAACGACGCTGGTCGCCATAATTGTTTAAAGTCGAGGCGAAATATGTCATCCAAACAAATTATTACACAGATTCTCACTTCCTTCAACTGTACAGTAAGAAATCGACAGGAACACAGAATATCCTATGTTCTAAAGTTGGGATCTTGAAGGCAATGTTTTAGAGCACAATTTGCTAAGTAACCCCACTCTGGATTAGCAGACCTCACGTATCTTCAATATAAACGTAACACTGTCCACGTTACTTCCAGGTGTAAAACTCAAACTTGACATTTCACCGAATAATTCAACCCGGGATAATTAGAGACAGTGATTTTGCACGGAAAAGATCTTGACGAACCCATTGAGTGATTGGCGAAACGCCTACGTCACTAGTAATCCATAAGGTTAACTTGAAATAAAAAAATTAATTCATAAACTTCAGAGATCACTTTACAGTTTATGAGCGCAGTCTATTTCGCTTGTTTTCTATTAAGATTTATGTAAACTTAATTACCGGGTGGTGGGAAACACGACAAATACAAAAGTACAAATAAACTGACGATGATTCGACTGATGCAAGTGGTCAGGGTTTTTTGATTCCTTCCCTGAACTATATATTATACTACGGCAAAGGCAATGGTCTCTATTTTTAAGTAAAATATTTAATTTTTGATTTTTACTGTATGGAATAATCAGTCAGAGAATCATTGTTTGTGTATCAACTTAATGCAACTTGATAGTGGTCTAAATAAATTAGTACCAGCATCTTTCGACGATATTGTATCTCATTTTACATCATACGCTTGAACTTGTTTATTTCATTTTTTCAATTCTGTACCTAGAATTTATATTATTATCAAGGCAATTTTCTTGCCAAGCAGAACGCTTTTCGTCAGAATTTAATTAATAATTTTTACAGTGGTGTTTTAATAGAGAGTATCCGTATCATACCAGTGAAAATGTAATCACTACGTTTTCTGGTCCATACTGCACGGCGTTTAAAATTGTTCTGCTGCTTTACATTATATGACACATAAGTGTATGTGACAGATGATTGTTAATTCTAGTGTAAGCCAGATAGATCATTATAATTTGCAACACAATGACATAGGTAATAACTTTATTTATGACACATACCTAAGTAAATGTGACAGATGATTATTATTTCAAGTGTAAGCCAGATCATTATACTTTGCAACACAATGACACAGGTAATCGACATTCATAATTTACTCGTGTCACTATGTCATAAAATGTAACATAAAAAGATTCATGTATCGACGGATTATTTCCAATATATTTTCCTATAAAAATGACTCTTATAAGAAACCATAGAAATATTGTTTTTGAATCTATTCATTTAATATTTTGAAGTGTTTATTAAATAGCTCCATCTATAATTAGAAGCGCTCACTAATGCAATAAAGTTATGGTAACGAGATTTTTGTGGCAGTTCTGTCTAAAATATTATTAACGAAATGTTTAGTTGCATACAGCGCCATCTACAAAAGTTCTAAGTTATTTCATACCCCATTCTATGTCAAAAGCTATCCTGTTAGAAGTTAAATCATTTGCCACAAGATGTCGCTATAATTTTAACAAATCTGGTACAACAATTTCTAGAACATACTGTTATATCTTCATTTTTTAAGAAAAAAAAATATTTAACATTTCTTAAATTTTATAGCTAATTACGTCATTTAGTTGTCATAAAAATTCAGTGGCTAAAAAAAGCATTGTGTATTTCTTTCTGCTTTGCTTGTTTAAGCTATGGTTATTTTATTTCAATACAGGGGTTTTAAAGACAATTTAACCTAAAGTCAAAGTAACAAAGGATGACATCAGAAGGAGTTAATTCCGTGCTGTATAATTGAATTTCAAATATACGGTTTCAATTTTAAAAGAATACACACCTCAACTTGAAAGCATCCACTCTTTTTATTTTATTTATATTTTACTTATATGTATTTAATGATATAATGAATTATCTTTATCCGTCGGTCCTGGGTTCGTATACAAATTATGTGCATATTTTTTCTGATAAGTCCTCAATTTTAACCCCTCAATTATAAAATACGATTAGTTATCGAATATTTCATTTGAATTTATCAATGAAGAGCGAAAAAAATTTTAAATTTATGTCAAAATGAAAGTCAATTTAATGTTTTCTTTTTGTCTAAAGTGTCATAAGAAGTATCGCTGATAGTATTCCAAACGACTGATCAGTTGGTCATCTTCGTTAGTTGATTGTACAAATAGATGTTTAAAATCTCATAAAAAGAAGTGTTAAAAATTCAGCCGAACGATTTTTAAGGCCAAGGAAAACAATGTTGAAATGTTTATTTTTGGGTTTAAATCTGTTTAAGTAACACGAAATTTCTTTATCATACTTGCCAGAGCTCGTAAACAATATAGATATTTCATTATGGTTAGTAGATGAGTGAAAACACTAACATGAATTATTATTTGTCTCCGTTACGACTATATTGAGCACTAAAAAAGCCTTTTAATTTAATACCAATTTAATGCTATTTGTTATACTTTGTGATGTAATGGCAAAAACTGTCTGCAAATTTTGAATTAATTGTTTATTATTAATTCGAAATTCTTATTACAAAAGTATTTCAATGTATCACATAATACATTAAATATTCTTAAACCTGCAGAAGGCCAGTAGTTGTAAGGCCTACTTTATGAAAGGATTGAGACTTACTTCAGATGACCTAAAAGTTAGCTCTATAACTCGTAGTTATCGCGTGTTGATACATTTCAATTCGAAAAAAAACAATTCTGCTGATTAAATTCTTTCCAGCGCCTCGTATCAAAAGACTGGATAGCTCGCATCAATAATTCACTAGGTAACTTTCGATTGATAATAGTTTCAAAATTGATATGTTTTATTTTAATAAAAATAATTAACCCGAAGCTAGAAAAAGTTCTATCTTCGTATTCGTCTGAATGTAGTAACACATTCAATTGTATACATAACACTATATTCCAAACAATACGACCGTTAGTTAATCAAAAGAACACTATTGTCGCCATGTTAACGACAACTGAAATCCCACGTATTAGACGTGTGTGTAATTCTATGCGACAGTTACAAGGCCATAGAATCTAAAATTGCAAGCGCATCCCATCGACTACGATGAAAACGCGTTTTCGCGCGCGTACAAAAGCCTCCACTTGCAGGCGCCGAACAATTTTACACCGTTACTGACCCACTGATGCGAGAGCGCCGGTTCGTCTCTTGTGCTCTCAGTGGCCAACGCATAAGCGTGCAGAGCGAACGCGGCATCGCAATGTTCTTCGAGAGTTTCCTTCTGAACCTGGCTGTATTGGCAGCCCTCATAGTCGCTCTAATATTCGACTATGTGACCAAATTCTTCAGCTACTGGTATGTCAGACACGTGCCCTATAAGACGCCTGTGCCCTTCTTCGGTTCCGATTATCACCGAGTACTGCTCCTGAGATCAACATCGGAAGAAGTAAAGATTCTTTACAGTCGGTATCCTGACAGTTTTGTGGGCACTATCAAAAGTCGAATACCCGACTTGCTAGTAAAACAACCGGACGCGATAAAGAAAATATTGTCGACGGATTTCGCGAATTTCCACAGCAGAGGTCTCGCTCTCGACAAATCCAAGGATGTTTGCTTGAGGAACAATCCGTTCTACGCGGAGGGTGAAAAGTGGACCTTACTACGCGAGGCTTTGGATTTAATTTTGAATGGAGCGGTGAGCGAAATCAATGTTAGTTTACACGAACATTTGACGGGAACCAACGGTGTTGTGAACGCACAGCAGTTATTGACGGAGATATTGGACGCAGTGTTCAAGAACTGTTTATTTGCCGGGAACGAGGACGGTTCACTATTAAGCGAGTTGAGGAAATCTCTTCAGCGACGCACTTACATTGAGAAATTTAAGAGTTATCTGAAGGAATTATTTCCCTCTGTGTTTGTTTCGCTCGGGCTAGTAACTGCTCCAGGTCAGCCGACAGTGAAGATGTTTGAAATTACAGAAAACTCAGTACTTACAACACATTTTCGTAAAATCGGACTCGATGAAAAATTGAATGCACAGTGTCGGAAAGGTGATGTTTCTAAAAAAGTTTCGGAAGATGAATTAATATTTTCAACGATTTGCATGTTTATAACGGAAGGGTATATACCGTGTATGAATGCCATAGTCTCTTTATTATTTGAATTAGCACGTAATCCTCAAATCCAAGAAAAACTGAGAAACACAAAAACAAATGAAACTTATTTAGAGTTATGCATTAAAGAGGCTCTGAGGCTTTACCCACCGTATTCTGTTATTAACAGAAAGTGCGTCAAAGCTTACAATATGTCGGACAGTGGTATGGCGTTAGACAAGAAGGTGACAGTAACGGTACCGGTAGATGCTATTCATAAAGATCCCGTACATTATCGAAACCCCTATACTTTTGACCCAGACCGGTTCTTGGAAAGAGAAAATAACGCGATGCATGCATTCACTTATTTGCCCTTTGGCGCTGGACCAAGAAAATGTAACGGTATGTTAAAAATATCACTATGTTTACAATGTATTTTTATATGCAGTCACTAACACAAACAGGGTTAAAAGTTAAACTCTGAGACTACTGCTGTTAAATGGTAAAATAAATAGTAATTGTAATATATAAGAATCTGTTGAAGATCTCTTTGTTTTCTTATTCGAGATTTACATTTATTGGTCTCTCCCCATAGCTGGAGTTTGTTATGTGAAAAGTTATTCGGTAGCGGTACCAACGTTTAAACGAGTAGTACCCGGATACCTCACTCATCAGTCTAAATGCTAAATTTAGTACCCGGATACCTCACTCATCAGTCTAAATGCAAAAGTATAGTAATATTTCCACCTCCCGCCGGTCTTCGTTGAGCGTGGTACTTCCCCGGATGATTGTGACCTTTCGTACCACTGCAGATGTTACTACATTGCCCTACCATTTTGATGAATAATGAGCACATGATTCATATTAAAATTTGTAGAAATAAGGGAGAAAAGTTTAGACTCTCACGTAGAAGACGTTTCAGAAGACGTGAGGATTCCCACAGCGGCGAAAAACGTTTTGTCCTTTTTTGTATAAATTTTAATATTCCACCTTAAGTGCAGAGATTATCACTATAGAAATAAAAAAGAGAAATATCGTCATCAACAGAAAGTATTATAGTGTGGGTTGCTGTAGAATTGCCAGCAACAGTCTTCACTATTGCATGAATGGATAGGTCCGTCCGGGGAAGTACCAATACCCTATAGAACACTGGCATGAAGTGGAAGTATTACACTTTTGCGTTTCGTCTGGAGAGTGAGGTAGCCGGGGTGCACTTTATTAAAAGACGGCAATGCTAATGTTACCATGCGGTTGTTGTACTTAACATTAGGTGAACCGCAAGCCCGCCTGCCATCTTCTAACATAAAAATTAAGCTAAGAGAATTAATATAAATATCATCGAATTTTCAGGTGAACAACTTGCCCTGAAAATTATAAGGACAGTAACGGAGGCAGTGATCAAAGAGTACAAAATTGAAGTGACGGATGAAACGCCAACGGAATTAAAACTCGCCGATCACGACTTCAAGAGAACAATAATAAGCAACGTTTGGTTGAAATTCACGCGGTCAGAGTAACTATGGAAATAGTACTTCAATGGGTAACCATGGTTGCCTATATTTTAACACTTAATTTTCGATTTTACTGTAGTTGAGTTATTAGATAGTTTAATATGTTATTATAATATGCGACACTATTCTGATAACAAATTTTAAAGGTACTAGTTGTTAAAATCTATAGTCATAAGAACATTAAATAAGGCACTGTTGTTCCACATACATTCCTACATAATAGTATTAGATCTATTTTCTCTTTTGTATTGTTTAGTTATTAAGTTTAGTTATTAGTATTATACTAAACCTCGTGAAGAACAGCGGTAGAATAATACTTCAAATCCTAAAACGGTAAACGGGTAATATTTTTGATACTTATTTACGTCATAGCTCAGTGTCGTCGTTTAGGGCCTGATGTAAGGTTTATAACACGTAAACCCCTTGATGATCATTGAAAACCAACTTGATAATTATACCTATTAACCAACAGGACTTAATGCGTTCGAAGATCTTTCGTTGTTCCTTTTATTTCTGCCTTAAATAATATAAATAAAGGAGAACATGTTCTATATAGGACAGAAATATTACAAAAAAAATGAATAAATTTATTTGTTTTCTACGTTATCTAAATGTGAAATAATTATACCGAATTAAAGTAAGATCACAATTTAAATTATACAGACCCTTCTTAACTAAGGGCTCTAGAAAGAAGAACTCTTTAAAATTCAATTAGAATAATTGATCGTTATAGAAACAAAAAAAATAATCTCTAACGTAAGGAAGATCAGCCTCTCTTAAAGTACCAATTAGTATTAATCTTATTAAAAATATTTGTCGTCCTACAATCGGTCCGTTTTAGAATTTTGATATTTCCGTCCACGCCGTTGGGGCAAGGTTATGGTAAAATTTTTTATTTGTTTGACATGGAAGATATTTAAAATTATTATAGCGCTCCTAGTGACAATTTTAATACTTCACTATTTTGTTGCTGTAAAAGGGATATGTCAATCGAGTTATTTATTGAGTTAGCTTCAACAGAGGCATCTTGCGGTGAATCTTGTAAGCGGTATTTTATAACATTTTATTATAATTATAAGATTAGCTTATTAAATTGTTCTAACCATTATTGCTGATTATGATTTCATGATCTATTACTGTTACAACATTCAACGAACTTAACAACAAATCTTGCATGTCTAACCCATTTTCTTATTGGTTATCAAGAAGTGATATTTTGTTGTTAAATGTGATAGTTATAATGCGAATAGCTTCATTATTACTGTGTATTTATCCTTAATTAAAAAAAAGTATTAAGTATATCATTCACTCTTTTTATACTAATTAATTTAATACAAATCGAAATTACTAAGGATAAGCAACATGCTGAAATTGTATTGCCAACTATTTTAATTGATATCACTTATTGGATTAATTTGGAAGATTATTGATTGTTGGATAGGAATTAAGATTAATACTCAGGAAAACACTCCTATGAGATAAGAACCTTATCAACCTTATTCTCTCATATATCAACAAGCTATCACTGTTATGGCTGTTATGATATGTATGATACAATATTATTTCTTAATCATAAATTTTATATCTTAAACAAATATTATTTTTTCATAAAATGATAAATACATAGGTGTTTGTTAGTCTGTCAATTCCATTATATTATCCTTCATCGGGTAATTTTATCAGTTCCATTTAAAGATTCATTATAAAACCAAATAAAAACCGCCGAAAATTTACGTGAATTGTTGTCGACCATCAATTTCCGATGACATATCACAATTGCATTTTCGCTTGTGGGCACTGAAAGTTTAACATATTTTAGTTTGAGTTTTACATGCGATTATTAATATAATGATAAAAATACTCTTTAGTGAAATAACATTTGATTATACGGTAACATTGGATTGACCAGCCTGCGATACAGTAGACGGGTACAGTTTTTGATGTAATAAGTTTTTACACCAGTGACGTCGAAATTTAACTATCTGTCAAAGTAACTTTTTTCGAATGCAACATTAAACAATGTCATTAAATTACACTTTGAAATAAAAAAGTGGCGTCGCATAACTGATACATAATCGCTATTTCGCCCCTTTCTCCCCAAAATCGACAACGATGAATAGTGCAATGCAGGGGCTTGAAAAGGGATCTCGAGGGTTGTTGTCGCGGGAAATATTTTCCTTGCTTTCCGCACTGGGTAGATAATGGAGTCTGTCATGGATGGGACATGGTGCTAGGTATAGGCTCTATATAATTTGTTTACGCCGTCCCCTACTCACTGTAAATCGCGAACAAATGAGGGAAGAGGGAACAATTATTGAGCGGGTGAGAAATATCAAAAACCATTGAATTCGATGGTCCACTTGAGATTTAAGAATTTACATATTTAGTTTATCAAGTTAATACAAGTTTGTATATATAAGTGAGTATTTACGATTGTTTGTATGTACTTATGTATTTGTACTTTATTTTATTGAACCAAGAAATAAACGAAAACTAAATAAGTATTACCATAAATTCATCAGTACCGAGTTGACGTCGTTTAGGCTAGACCAGCGTCGTTTGAAAAGTGGAGTTCATAAATTATCCTCTTTTACGTATTAACAGGAAAAGCGAGTATTCTTCTCTTATTAACATTTTAAGATTAATGATTTGCAGAAAAAACAAATGCAAAATTTTAACGCTCAGAGCTGTGGCATTTTCTGAGATATTTCCACGTCGAAAGTAGCCGCAAATGACAAATCGAGGAGATGGCTCATGTCTCTTCCACGCATGTTTTTATTGGTTGGAGTAAATTCACCAGCAAGGCTTTTTTCGGCGAGGGCAGCTTTCAAAACATTGCTAATTCTTTATTACTTTACTTTTTACAGGGAAAAATTTTGTTTTACTTTTGTACCATTTAAATTATAGATTATTTTGTTGATGCTTTTTCACGACGTTCGTAAATTAGATATTCTTGCTTTTCTCTAATTTGGTCTAAAATGTGAAATCAGTTTTCAATCAAAATGATCGAGGGTTAAGGACACCAAGATTTATGGAACTAAAAAGTAATTATGTTCACACGACGATTTACGATATATTTTATAGCCACAATCTTATGATTTGCTTATTAATCTTTTGTTGTACTGTGTATTCAGCAACCGCAGAAAATCTTAGATAGAATAAAAGGATTTTCACGGTTCAAGTAAGGTTATCCTGGCAATAAAAAATACGCTGATACAGCAAACAGTGCTCCTCGGGAAATTATGCTTTCATTACACTAAATAATTCACATCGACGCGCGGCCCTTATAAAAGTTTCAGCGTGGAGAATTGGCGGGGTGTGGTGCGACGCGGCTAATCAAATATTTTTATGATCGGCGTCGTTTTACGGGCCTGCCTTTTGGTGGAGAGGTGCTTGGCACAAGTGTCTTGTAATAATCTATAGTACTGAGGTATGTAGAACAGTACGCATAACAGACTGTGGAGAATAGATTATTTTAGACAGTATGTTGAACAGAGTGTTTTGGAGGAGTGAAACGAGAGAGCAGGTTAAATATATGTAGAACAGAATGGGATAGCCTGTGTTCAAGAATCCAATTGTGGAAATTAATGTAAAGAAGCGAGTATTAGAACAAGCCTTTTTTGAAACGGAGTGCATAGACAGTAATTGAGATCGTGCACTACTTTTTAATTTTTGGGAGCGCATCTTTAATCCGTTCTACATTGGTAATTATTTACAACAGATGAAGTGCCTGCTAATTAAATAAAATAAAAAAAAAATTGTGTCAGTTGATTAGGGCTTGTGGAAAAAATATCAAATCACAGCATAGTCTTGTTCTCCTGAAGTTTGTCAGTTACATTTAAACATTATCAGTTATCCGCTAAAACGCTGTCCCTTGTGCGTTGAGTAGCCTGCTTGCACCAAACTGCTCTCTGCGTTTATTCAATTGTGTGTATAATTCAGTTAAGTATATGAAGTAGACATGTTACTTGATTAAAGGACAGTGAGAAAGAGTTTTGTTGCTTTATTCCGTCTACCTGATATTATATTTTACATTGATCTACGATAAAATTTGGTATGAACCACTATAAAAGATGTTTATTTTTATTTTATTTATTAATTAATTCTTGACAAAAAAAGTGACACACCTTTAAAAGAGGGTTACAAATGGCGGACTTAACGCCTATTAGCATTCTCTACTAGTCAACCCGGGCGTGAGGAGAAATCCTGGTAGGTATAATACATAAATAAGATGACAATATGGATTCTTAAATAAAATAAATGCTTAAATCCACAAAATGCTATATATAAGAGATTACATTATTTATGATTGTGTGTTTGAATAAATATTCTACATTATTTGTATGATATTCCAGAAAGTAAACAAATTTGTCTCCAAACACTTAATGGCTTAATTAGTGTTATTTATTTTATTTTATTATCATTATAAAAATTATGGAGAACAAAGATTTAAATATGAATATGAATGATTAAGTTAGATTACGGTAACTAATAAATTTATAATAGCATAGTAGTGTGGTAAGTAGTAAATTTACAATAGTATTTTATTTATTTTTTTTGGGAAAAAAGCAGCAAACGAGCAGGAGGCTCACCCGATGGTAAGTGATCACCGCCGCCCATGGACATCTGCAACACCCGAGGGCTTACAAATGCGTTGCCGGCCTTTTAGGAATGAGTACGCTCTGTTCTTGAAGGTTCCCAGGTCGTAACGGTTCGGAAAGACCGCCGGCGGCAGCTGGTTCCACAGAGTGGTTGTGCGAGGCAGGAAATGCCTTGAAAATCGAGCTGTTGTGGAACGCTGGACATCGAGGTGGTGTGGATGAAATTTTTGGTTTTGGCGCGATGTCCGATGGTGAAATTCAGCCGCTGGGATCAATCCAAACAATTCCTCGGAACACTCCCCGTGATAGATGCGGTAGAAGATGCAGAGTGACCCAACATCTCTACGCATAGCCAAAGGATCAAGCTGATCGGAAAGACCTTGATCGTCGATAACCCTAGCT